TGAGTCCAGGAGTTCAAGACCAGTCCGGCCAACATGGTGAAATCCCATCTCTATTAAAAATACAAAAAATTAGTCGGGTATGATGGTGTGAGCCTGTAGTCTCAGCTTCTTGGGAGCCTGAGGCAGAAGAATTACTTGATCCTGGGAGGCAGAGGTTGCAGTGAGCCGAGATTGCACCAATGCACTCCAGCCTGGGCGACAGAGCAAGACTCTGTCAAAAAAAAAAAAAAAAAAAAAAAGGGAACGGAAGGGAAAGGGGAAGGGGAAGGGGAAGGGGAAGGGGAAGGGGAAGGGGGAAGGAAGGAACCGTGAAAAGACATAAAGAAAACTTAAATGCATTTTACTAAGTGAAAGAAACCAATCTGAAAATGCAAGATACTGTATAATTCCAAGTATGTGACATTCTGGAAATGACAAAACTATGGAGACCGAAAAAAAGATCACTGATTGCTAAGGGTTGGGAATGGGGTGAGGGAGGGAAGAATGTACAGGTAAAGAACAGAGAATTTTTAGGGCACTGAAACTACTGTTATGATACTATAATGGTGGATACAAGACATGGATACACTGTCAAAACTCCATAGAATGTACTGAACATAAGACATGGATACATTTGCCAAAATCCCATAGAATGTACAACACAAGAGTGAACCTTAATGTAACTATGGGCTTTGGGTAATAATTATATGTTAATATGGGTTCACTGATTATAACAAATGTACCCCTAAAGTACAGGATGAGGTGGGTCAGGTTGTTCTTGTGTGGACAGGGGTATATGGGAACTATCTGTACTCTCTGTTCAAATTTGCTGAGAACCTAAAACTGCTTTAAAATTAAAGTCCAGACCGGGTGCGGTGGATCACGCCTGTAATCCCAGCACTTTGGGCAAAGGCCAAGATGGGAAGATCACGAGATCAGGAGATAGAGACCATCCTGGCTAACACGGTGAAACCCCATCTCTACTAAAAATACAAAAAAATTAGCCGGGCATGGTGGCGGGTGCCTGTAGTAGCTGTAGTCCCAGCTACTCTTGAGTCCAGGAGCCTGAGGCAGAAGAATTACTGTAGTCTCAGCTACTCATAAGGCTGAGGCAGGAGAATGGCGTGAACCCGGGAGATGGAGCTTGCAGTGAGCCAAGATTGCGCCACACAGCACTCTAGCCTGGGCGACAGAGTGAAACTCCGTCTCAAAATAAATAAATAAATAAATAAATAAATAAATAAAAAATAAAGTCCAATAATTTAAAATATGTATGTATATATATTTTTAAAACCTGCACACATAAACTGTTTAGATATTTATTCCCTGTCCTCTATTAAAATAATTCCTCTAAGACCTTTTTTGAACAAGTAATTACAACTTGATTTCTGGGTAAAGTTTTTATTTCACCACAGCATCTTTCAAAAGCAAAATATGTCTATGCTGGCATTTCAGAAATGCACTTATCTTCAGATTCTTGTTGCTTTGGCCAGCACCAGAATCTTTTTAATAATATATACACTGACATCTTAGACTTGACACATGACAAGCAGTCTTAAGAGTAATGCTTAAAAAAAATCATCACTGCCAGATAATGCTTATAATACAAGGAAATAACATATAACCAGATTATATAAATCTGAAAATTATTTCCAAAAAATCTACACATTTTGGGATTGGAAGGAACCAGAGAGAACACTCAATTCACCTCCTCCCATTTGAGGTCTATTGCAGAAGGTCCAGACTCATTATTTTCAAGATATTATCTCCATACTTTACCCTTATCTACATCTCCAGTATCATCTGCTACTTCCCACTAGGCCCCTTGTGTCTGCTGTGCAAAAACTCCCCATTCTCTTATTAATTTACTAAGTTCTTTCACATAATCAGTGTCTCTAAACACGCTATTCCTTCAGTCTGAAATTCACTGAGCTCTATCCACATTTAGCAAGTGCCTATTCATCTTTCATCACACTGTTTGAATAATAATTATGTAGACAAAAGACTTAATTTAAGAAAAGTTTGACCACAAAATTCTGACTGTGGAATAATTCTAAACACAAAAAGAACTGTAATGAAATCTTAAAATTTATTTAGCAAGTAGTTGGTTGCTGTTACTGGTCTAGCAATTTTTTTGGCAGGGGAGGGTTACTGTAGGATACAGCATATGAATAAATATTGCTGGTGTTGGGAAGCAGGGATTTTATTATGAACAAAGGAGATTCAAATATGGAATAAAGGAAGATGAGAAAGAACCCTGTAGTACTAGTTTTGAACTGGAGGTATTAATATAAATGCATTAAATAACAAGCGAACAAAACAGATACTCCTTGGTTCTGTCCATTGAAAGGGTGAAACCACAATGGCAAGAAATAGCAATGAGCAAATCTATACTCAGACATTTGTTTTCAAATACCACTGCCCAATAAAAAGGCAGTACTAGGACTTCTGAAAAAATGGCTGATTCCAAGTCTGAAGCAAGAAAAAACCAAAGTAAGGCTAAGCATCATGTTACTCTTGTTTTGTTTCATTTTGTTTTTGAGTCTGGGTCTTGCTCTGTTGAGCACGCTGGAGTGCGGTGGCACAATCATGGCTCACTGCTGCAGCCTGGAACTCCTGGGCTCAAGCAATCCTCCCACTTCAGCCTCCGAAGTAGCTGGGACTATAGGCATGCACCACCATGCCTGGCTAAGTTTTTTTATTTTTGTAGAGATGAGATCTCACTATGTTGCCCAGGCTCGTCTCAAACTCCTAGCCTCAAGAAATCATCCCAAATGTTATGTTAAGGAAGTGCTCAAAGACTAAAGAACAGTCATGTTAAAAGGACACAGGAGCCAGTCACTAGTCAAATTTGGGACACTTTTAGCACAAAAAAGTTAAAAAAAATTTAGTAAGAAAAAATAATACATAATTATTACACATACAAGAAAAAAAAGAATTGCAGATAGAGAAGAAATGTTACAATGTTTTTAAATTACTCTTTTTGTAATTAATTTGTTATTATCATTATTATTATTTTTGAGACAGAGTCTCCCTCTGTTGCCTAGGCTGGGGTGCAGTGGTGCGATCTCAGCTCACTGAAACCTCAGCTTCCTGGGTTCAAGTGATTCTTTTGCCTCAGCCTCCCAAGTAGCTGGGATTACAGGTGTGTACCACCACACCGAGCTAATTTTTTTATTTTTAGTAGAGATGGGGGTTTCACCATGTTGGCCAGGCTGGTCTCGAACTCCTGACCTCAGGTGATCTGCCTGCCTCGGCCTCCCAAAGTGCTGGCATTACCGGTGTGAACCACCCTGCCCGGCCTTTGTAATTTAAAAATTACAATTTGGGCTGGGCGCGGTGGCTCAGGCCTGCAATCTCAGCACTTTCGGAGGCTGAGGTGGGTGGATCACGAGGTCAGGAGTTTGAGACAGGTCTGGCCAACATGGTGAAACCCTGTCTCTACTAAAAATACAAAAATTAGCTGGGCATGGCAGTGGGCGCCTGTAATCCCAGCTACTCAGGAGGCTGAGGTGGGAGAATCGTTTGACCCCAGGACATAGAAGTTGCAATGAGCTGAGAGACTCCATCTCAAACAAAAACAAAAAAAAAATTACAATTTGTAAGTCCCCAGTATAATAAATAATACAGATAAAGACCATTAGTGGATGCTAAACACAGTGGGTGAAAAGTTGTTGGGGTATTCTTACGGTCTCCAAGTATCATTTTACTATTATGCTATATGCTAATTCTATATACTAATTCTAAGATTATATGCTAATTCTAAAGAGGAAAATATACCTTTACAATGGAGAGATCTGGCTATTACCACCTTATCCAAACAGTAAAATAAAGCATCACCAGTGATGGGACAACCTGATATCATTTGCCTCATAATGTAATGTACTGTGAAGTTCACACTACTTAGCTTCTCCTTCATATATATGTATCTCCTATGTAATATTTTCCTAAAAATATTTATTTTGAACCTAATCAAGTAAACATATAAATTTAAAACTTGGGACATTCTACAAAACTACCCCAAACTCTTTTTATAAAAGGCCAAAGCCATGAAAAAACAAACAAACAACAAGCAGGATATTATTCTAGATAAAATTACAAGGAACATTAACCACATGAACCTTGACTAGATCCTGGATGATAAAAGTAAAACAAGAAATATAAAACACTTTTGGAGACAATTGGGGAAATTTAAGTACAGGCTGTCTGCTACATATTACTGAATTACTATTGATAGTCTGAGGTGCAATAATGATTTATGGATATAAAGGAGAATGTCATTCCTAGGAGATATATGCTGAGATATTTAGGAGTGAAATCTCAAGATATCCACAATTTACTTTCAAATGGTTCAGCAAATATGGAGGAAATACGTCAAGATGTTACAACTGGTAGATACAGATGAAGTATATGGGTATTCGTTGTACTGTTACCTATAGATTTGGAATTTTTTAAATAAAATCTTCGGGGGTAAAATCTCAGTTCAAATGTCGCATCTTCTGTGGATGCTTTTTTTTTTTTTTTTTTTTTTTTAACTTTTCTAGTGGAATTATTTTTTCTATCTTCAGTATTCCTGCAGTCTTTATATTTCTACTTCAGCACTTAGCGAATTTGTTAATTGCTAATTCCTAGGTCTGACCTTTTTCCTAAACTGTGTGAAACTGTCCTCATCTTCATTCCCAGAATTTAGCTCTTTATCTGGCACCTACTAGGTATTCAATGTTTGTTGTATGATGAGATAAACTGACATGCCACAGTAACAAACTCAAACTGAATCTAGGTATTGTCTATATCACGTGTCTCAAATTTAATTAAATCTATCAAGCAGGAAGCCTATTAAATGGTCCTTTGTGATCTGTACCATTATAATGAGTACCCACATCAACATTCAGTGGATTTAAAATTGATTTAAAACAAAGCATAACATGTTTCCCTCAAGCAGACTCACCCTTCAGTCATCGCAGGCTTATTTTCATTTAAATTCCTCACACTTTCGACTCAAGAAAATTAGAGAAGCATACCTGCTCTATATCCTTGGAAGTGGAGGTCTGGTTTTCTCCCATGATTCCAGGCTGCTCATTTTCCCACGGTAATTTATTTTTTCCTTTTCCTGCACTTAATACCCTCCGGGTACAGATAGTTGGACTGTAAGATCCATAAATTTGCATGCTATCCCTTACGTGGTCACCACAGTGACAGTGTGCACTCTGAGTTCTGTTACCAGCCAAAAGCCAGTCCGTATCTGCTCCATGTGCCAAATGGTTTGATCTACCCCCGGCAGAAGATGGCATCAGTACTGCATATTCCACAAATCCCTGCTCTGTTAGCCTTGGTAAGGTTTTCCTAGCCAATCTGGCCTGCACAGCATTCATCACTCCATCTCCATTATCTTGCAGTTCAACAGTATCCACAGCTTTAAAAAGGATGCTGGTTTTACCTGAGCCCATTGATGATGCCAATACGGCAAAAGCTTCTAAAGCTGCTTGGCGTACCCTGCGTTTGCTATCTACAAGAGCTGGGGCAAGATCAAAGGACAGTTTGGGCAAGTCAAAATCCTCACTAGGATAGGTCAGCAGGGAGCAGATGCAAATGTTCACCACCTCCTCTCTCACTCTGGAATGCTTATGTTTGAGATGTTCCAGGAGTAAACAAAGCACCTGCTGAGGTCCTACTTCCTTCATTAGCTTGAGGAAGATTTTCATGTATTCTTGTTTGATCACCAACTTGTTGTCTGCCAGTACTTTGACAGAAGCTGCTATAACTGGTCCCAAGAACTGCTGTACCTGCTCTCCAAGGCGAATAACCAGTAAATGCAGGACTTGAAGTGTGCCATGAACCACTTTGAAGTTAGAATCGTCTAACAAATTATATAGCAAACTAATGAAGCCAACAAGACTAGAATGAGGAGTAGAACTAGGGTTAAATTTTCCCAGCACCTGCTTTAGTTCTTCGACGGCCTGGGTTCGGTTCTTATAGTCTTCCTGATCCAATAATCGTGAATGCAGCTCCTGAGGAATAATCCCAAATTTAAGATTGCTGTTGGAAAGAGTCACTGCACAGGGAAGGGGATCTTCAGGAAATCCAGAGGCTTCAAGTTCCAAATAATAAGGAACTTGACTTCCAAACTGGGACTCCAGGCGGCGATTGTAGTGTCTCCTCAGGGCAGAGGGGAGACGAGAAATATAAGATTGAAACCTGTCTTGGCCAAGTCGCTCCCCAATTTGTTGAAGTGCGGAGAAAGCTGTCTCAGATTCTTCTGCTGTCTCCTGATCACCAAGCTTTCGGGCTAGGGATATTATCACCTCGGTGAGATCCAGACCAAGCAACAAGTCCTCAGTAGTAAGCAAGATGGGAAGCAGTAGTGCTGTGGACGCTCTAAGTCGGGCATCGGTACTTTCCAGTCCTTGTTGTATAAGCGTTCTTAGCACCTCTCCAGAACTACGTTTCAGACATATATGCAGGATCTGCAGCGCATCTTTCCGCAGGGCTGGATTCTCTTCCCGTAACGAGACAACTAGTTGAGGCAAAAGTGCTAAGCTAAAGGCCTCTTCCAGCTGGCCTGCCTCCCCCTGACCCCGGAGAACGTCTGAGAGAAGTTGCAAGCAGAGCCGCTTCTCATCACTACCTCCTTCCACAAGCACTCGGCCCAGTGCCCGATACAAAGCTTCCTTGCGTCGGGGGAAGCCAAGTCGACCCCCGCGCCGCGGCAAAGCAGCTTGCAAAGCCTGAAAGGCCTCAGAAGGATCCGGCGCGGTGCGGAGGAGTTGAAGGAGCCGAGTCTCCTCTTCATCTCCCCCTGACAAACCGCCTCCAGAATCAGACCAGCTGCTTGAGACTGCCTCCGAGGGCATCAAGACGACCGAGGCCAGAGGCGAAGTTGTAGTGGGGCAGGAACCGTGGTCCCCCGCAGCTCCACGGCAGTAGTAGTTTTTCTCTCCTCTCATAATGCCCCCAACTCCACTATCATCAGTCTCTGGGGCGGAAGGACGACTGCGGCTCTGGAGCCGATAGGCAGAGAGGACTGGAAAGGGCGGCAGCAGAAGCAGCGCGGAGGGCGCAGCCGCCATGCAGGGTCGTCAGGTGGCGGTGGTTGGAAGACATCATTGCCGTCTCCGAAGGGCTCGATGGAGCCCGGACTTCCAGATCCTCTCCAAGCCCCAAGCTACAGAAGAGGAAAAAGAACAGCTGCAGCCCGCCGCCAGGCCGCCCCCAACTCCGGGAGGCAGCCTCTGGCAAAATGGCCCCCGTCTGAGCCGTAGACCCCACAGCTGCCACCGGGCGCAACCAAGGGCACCACGTGACCAAACCGATTGCTTCCATGGTGATGTACCCAGCGCGGACCTCTTGACCCGGAAATCCACTTGCCGTGATGAATGCTGGGTTATGTAGTCCACGTCAGGTGTAGAGACTAGGCCAAAGTCTCCTGGAAGAGGAAGTCAGAACATTGCAAACGTAGCTAGAGCGGAGAAGGGAGGAGGGGTGAAGACATTAGACGGATGTGACGCTTTCCTTGCTCTGGGCGGAAGTTGCCCGCCCCACCCGTAAGAGTTGGGGTTTGACCGGAGCTAGTGAGGATCCAGCCCAGGCTCCAGTTGTCCGCGGCTCCTCCTCCTGTCGCTTCCCGTGTGATTACTGGGACTCAGGTATTTTCCTTTTGCTGTCCTCCAGCGGTGCAGACTTTGGCAGTGTTTTGCCTGAATGCCACTGGTGCTAGAGTAAGAGGCAAATGACTGAGCGGAGCAGGTGGAAAGAGAGACGACATCTTCTTGTGCAGGGCTGGTTACCCTTGTAAACGCGTTACTCTCTGCCACCCTGAGTAACTGTGATCCTTTCCTCTTGCCATCTGCTTATCAGGACAGAAGATCCGGACCACGGCCAAGCTCACAAATCGGGTACTTTTTTTCAATTCCTGGTCTTTGGGGCCTTTATTCGCCCCCGCCCTCCTCCCCTTTCTCCTTTTGTCGACTTCTCTTAACCCTCCGGCCGTAGAGGGTTAATTTTTGTTTGTTTGTTTTTGTTTGTTTTTGACCACGTTTCCTTACCCTCATCACTTTGCGTTTTCTTTGCAACGTACATAATCTGGAAATAGGTCTTTCCCCCCCCCCCCCCCCCCCCCCCCCCCTGCCCCCCCCCCCCTTCCACCTCATCAAAGTCTTTCCTTCTAATGCAGTTCCTCTGTGGGACTCTCCCCTTCCCTCCGCCCCCTTCGTCTGCCGCCCTAGCCTCCCTGCAGGATCCTCAAGCATCTCTGCGGCCTTTCAGTCTCCTAGAGATAGAGATTGCGAAGACAATTTCACTTGCGGTGGAAGTTCTTGGCATCACGGTTCTAAGAGAATTCTGCCCTGTGGATTTAGGAATAATAGTAGACATTTATTTATTTTAGGCGAACTGAGAATTTTGTGTGCATTTTCTCCTTATCATAAATGATACTTAAACGAACACAGTGGAAGAGCTGGCGTATCTAGTGTGAGCCTGAATGCTTTGGAGTGTGGAAGAGAGATTTTTTTTTTGAAGGAGAATTAATACAATTACTTTTGAATGACTCGTGCGAAAAGTCTAAGTTATCATTTGAAGACCCAAATTTATGCACTTCAAATGCAAGTATTCCTACCCTTCTCTGTACCAGGTGGGATTTATCTTAAATACTTTTTAAAGTCTTGGGATAATTGAGTCACATATGCTAAACAGCTTTATAAATAATGCTCCCAGCTGTTGCAAGCGCAAAAATAATTTCTGAATTTTTGCCTTAAATTACGATTTGAATATCAGTTTTGTTTTGTTTTTTGGGGGGTGGGGATGGGGAATAGACTTAATATAAATGAGGCTGTGTAAATACACATCCTATGTTTTGGTTTAAATTCTAGGCTGTTACTTGGGTTTTAATAAGCCATTTTCGTGTTTAAATGAATCTGTCTAAATTAGGTTTGGCTAACATGTTTCATTTTAGGGACAGGTTAAAGACAGGGAGGTGAAAAACAAGAAATGATTGTAGCAGTTGTCAATGAGAAAGTGTCTGTTTCTCATAGTCCCAACCTAAGAAGCTCAAATGTGTAGACCCATGTATTGCCCAGACTTGAGGAACCCAGTTCAAACTAAGCTAGAGAATGATGTACACATTACAGTGCCAGTTTATGTTGAATCAGAATTTTCAAGTTGAAAATCCAGTGCACTCTTTCTTGTATCCAAGAACTTGGGAAGCCAAGTTAATAACTAGAGGTTGTGTGGTAATCGTGGAATCACAGAAAAGGACTTCGAAAGTCTTAAATGAGAGACTTGGATACTTAAGCAGTTATCATGCCCTTTTCCTGGGAACAAAGCAAGATGAGTCTTCCTTTTGATTCTGTTTTTTAGGTCCCTGTGAATCACTATACATTACAGATTGCAATTTATTTCATATCTGTTATATTTTGTCTCTTTGATTGAAGACTTAGAAGATACATTAGTCTCCGTAGTGGATATTTAGGAAATGGGACTTCATCAGCATCACGTCTTACTAATTATCTTTTAGAACTATTTTGTGGAACGTAAATCTCATTCATTGAGTGTGTATTCTGTTTATTACGAAGCAGATTTTTTTAAAATCTTACTTTGGAAATCTAGGAATTCTTCTTATATTGACTTAAAAAGCCTTTCGTATTTACTCATATATAGAGAGAGTACAAATTTATAATCAATTTTTAGAATAGTAGAATACACTATCAGGTGTTTTATTAATAGTACACCTAGGAAGGTTAAAAGGAAGTGGTTAAGGATACATTGAAAATTGCAAATTCAGCTAAAACAAGTTTAAAATTTCAATAATTTCAAGAGTGTAGTTAAATTAGTGAATTATAGGAATGTGTGTGCTACATATGTTAATTTTTTTTTAGCTGAACTTAAGGGTATACACAGTTGCCCTAAAACCTCCTTTATTTCCAGAATCAGAGATAACATAGTAGTTCCCTGGGCGAATCACTATGATTTTTCTATGTTCTTACTCAAATTTTACAGACATCCAGGAATATTGAACATCAGTGTGAATTCTGTAAACTAGTAAGAATTTTGTATAGTTTGAGAAGTTATTGTGAAGAAATGCTATGCAAATGAAAGTTGCTATTAGTATTAACAAACAATTATAACAACACCATGTTTTGAGTATTTGCTATGTGCCAGGCACCATGCTAGGTACTTAGTAAATATTAAGTCATGTAATCCTCACAAGAATTTTTTGAGGTTACATCTTCTACATTTGGACTGTGGAACATTTTATGGATGTTTCCACAAAAGAGTAATTGGATAGAGGAAGAAAGTATAACTCACATTTGCTTAGAGCTTGGAGAAGGTTTTGGTGGAGTTCAGTGTTGAAACTTTAGGATAAAATTAAGATTTTTTTCCATTATTCATATGTTTTATTATATATCATTTAATTATATATTTTTAAATTTATTATTTTTTCTTTCAATCCTTGTTTGGTTGAAGATTATATATATTTTAATCTACCCTTTTTGGATTTCTATTCAAAATCTTTTTAGTTTCTTATTTGAGGTAACACTTTAATAAGTTAAGAAATTATGAGCTTATTTTACAGCATTGAGTCAGTTTTCTTGATGTATATGAGTGATATATTTTCATCTACTTAGGTTTATCTTCCAAAGCCATTACATATTTCTGTCTTCAGTCAAAACTGTAATTTTAAAGAACAATCCAACTTGTATTGCATATTAATTACTATGTATAAGTTAACAGAATTTCACGTCTGTTGCAAACAGTTTTTCAGTGGACAGGGATTAATTATGTAACTTGGACGCCTGTCATAACATGGATTCAGAAATAACACAGAAGAAAGCAAGTTCCTAAAGTCATTACCACATCCAGTAAGAGTTCTGACAGGCTTCTAATTTTACTTTTGTTTGTCAAGTAATAATAAAAGTCAAATCTCAGATAAAAGGAAAATATCCTAATTTGTTCCATAGGCTCACTGATAAAATTATATACCATTATTAGTTGAATTATCCTATGAGAAAAGTTGAACTGTGGGAAAGAAATTTAAGAAAAGAGCAGATGTGATAAAATATTCTCCTAATTTCATAAATCGGTTATTTTCTTCTTTTAAAGAAAACTGTCCCTTTGAATTTTTTTTTTTTTTTTTTGGTAGTAATCTTGATTTCTCTTCACTGTTTATTTACTCTGGGTGTGATCTATATTTATATGGTGGCAGATAATTGCCTCCCAACTGATTTCAGCACCACTGTTTTGTGGCTTAGGTGTCAATTAAGTAGATAGGGACTAAACTCACAACTTGACCTTTATTAACTTGGTTTCAGAGGCTAAAGTTAAGTTACTGTAGACTATGGAAAGTTTGATTTTGTTTTAATTTCAAATAGATACTTTTTATTCGATATTGACTAATGCAGTTACCAAGATTCAGAATACTATTAAGTGTTTGTTTTATCGTTTAAAAAAAAAAAAAAGAAAGAACAAAAACTATAGCAGGGATATAGAGAAACCTGCTATACCAAATCTGCTTTTAGACAAATACCAGAAGGCAATGATTGTTCCATGGATCCTTCTTTATTTCATTTTAAAGCCCTGATGTATTTTTGTATCTAATGTGTGTATATTTTATAAAGATTTTATGTGAATGATCTATCCTCTTTGTATTTCTGTTCTGCACATTTTTAATTTCTTGTTTGAGTTAAAATTTTAATACAATTAAGAAATTCTGAGCTTATTTAATAAATGAGTCAGTGTAATAGAATATTTAAGAATTATGTAGACAGAGTGCCAAGGTTTAAATCTTGCCTCGGACTTAATTTCTCTGTGCCTCAAATTTCTTTATCTGTAAACTGTGTTATTTCTGAATCCATGTATGACAGGCGTCCAAGTTACATAATTAATCCCTGTCCACTGAAAAACTGTTTGCAACAGACGTGAAATTCTGTTAACTTATACATAGTAATTAATATGCAATACAAGTTGGATTGTTCTTTAAAATTACAGTTTTGACTGAAGACAGAAATATGTAATGGCTTTGGAAGATAAACCTAAGTAGATGAAAATTTTACAGATAAAGAATAGTATTTACAGATAAAGAAAATTTTACAGAAAAAGTAATAATAACAGCACCTATTATATTGTTGCTCTGAGGATGAAAGGAATTAATACATGTAAAAAGCTTAGAACATTAACTGGTACATATGACAGTCAAAGGTATTCTAAATGCTCTTTTGTAGAATAATTTCATTTTATGAGAAGTGATAACAATTATAAATTGATTCAGTAAATATTTTAAGCAGGTCGACATTGTTTGACATTAAATTTTTTGAATGTAATGTGTAGAGAGC